ATATCAGTGCCATCAGAATGAAAAGTCCTTGTGTCATTGTTCACAAACAAGATAGTCAAAATGCTTAGTCTTATTGTCAATATAACAGTGCAATTTGTTAGTATTACCTGATGTAAACTATGGCAACAGTTTGGATGACAGTTACTGTATTGAAATGCAGAAGGCTGCACTTCTTATGTATGTCATATATCCATTTCAAAAGTACAAATTTACACATTACTGTATGTGGGATATTGATTGAAAGAGACTGGATAGAATTCCCAGTTACACTTTTACTAGTGGTCTGACCAAAAAACATTAAAAACATTACAATGTCATTGTGATATAGAAAAGGAAAAAGAAATATGGGCACAAAGATGAAAAAAAAAAAAAGTCCATTGTTAGAATAGAACTCTTGTGTTGTCGTCTGTCTATACAGTATATGCTTTCCAACTGAAGATTCATGAGATTAACCTTTGAGCTATTTCAGATAAATGGTTTATCAATTCTCTTCATTAGTGAAAGTCAAGATTCACTTACACAATTCATGCTAAATTTACAAAAGGTCTAATTATAATGTGTAAAAAATGTGCTTGACACTTTATGACAACCAGATCAACCATTTTGCATTTAATGACTTATACGATGAACTAAAGACTAGATGTTTTGAGGGGTAAGACTATTGCACAGAAAACTATATAATACATTTTGAGCAACGTGACATTAGCAACTGATAATGTAGGAAACCACAGATAAATGTACATAATCAATTGCATGAATGTACCAAAGCAATTGCAGCTTGTTCAAAAGAATGAGAAACTGCTTTTATGCTGTGTACAAATGACTAGATGATGTGGAATTTGTACAAGTAGTTTTGAGAATTTCATTTCTGATTTGAGAAATGCACCAAAGCGACTGAGAAAAACTGTAAAGCAGTAAGATAGAGCTGAATGGTGACCCCTCCTCTTCTTTCTCTGCAGTACAGGATGTCTTTCATCCACCCTTTCCAAGAGGATCAAAAGCCCGTTAAAACTGACCCCAATGCATTTTCTCTCTCACACACGCAGTTTCCTCTGCCAGATATCCCTTTTATCCACATTGTGGAAATGAGCCCCTATTTCCTTTTTTAATGCTTAGCTCATTACTCATGCACACACTTACACTAGGCTTATACATTCAGATGAATGTCCTGCCAAATGTCCTCCACACCCTATTTACGCTAAACTTCCTCTAGCTCATAAATTCAGTGCAGCGACTGTAAACAGGTTAGCTCTGCTTGTGTAAATATAGGACTGTATATAATCTTGTTAACAATTCTTCAATGTATAATAGGCCTATCACATTTCCGTGTGATAGTTCGCTGTCATACAGATACCAAACCAATCAATTATATTTTATACATTTTAAGTGAATATACACGTCTTCTGAAAAGCAGTAGTTTTTATGGCTGTACGCACATACGGCAGGCGTGCGATTTAGAATAACTGCTCAGCAATCTCTGCTTTTGTTGCGCCCCCAACTGGTCAAGTTTGGCACATACAGTTTCATTTATATTTCAGTTGTACATAGAACATTTTATATCTACTTATTCACTGCTACCTAGAAATTATGTGTACATTATGTTAATATGTGCCACTTTTAATATCTATTTTAACTGAAACAATATTGACGTAACATACAATAATACAAAAAATGTGTAAAAAAAATATTGCCTCAGGTGTTCAGTGATTAGTGGGTGTTTTAACATAGGATCAAAATATAATATACAATATACCATAATAAACCACAAATGTCTCTTGCTGGAGTTATCTTCAATAAATCTAATTATCAGAATATTTACAAATAAATTACCTTTGCAAATAAAATACAATTCACTAATACATATAAATGACGAATAAACGAGGAGAAATAGTAAACTATTCAAATGAGAAGCAAACTGCATAACTAAACTTTTGAAGTGGCTCTTGGCTTGAACAGAAAGAGACCTGAAAGCCCTACAAAAAAAAAGATTTTAAAACTGTTTTTATTGCTGTAAGATCTTATCTTCTTATGTACAGTATCAATGCAACTTTTTCAATTCACTGTACTATGCAGTTCATCAAGACGTCAAGAGCTCAAAATAATGTTATTACAGTAACAGTGCTGTGTGAGAGTGATGTTTAGGTGTGTGTGTGTAATAGGAAGCCTATTCACAGTATTTCCTGTGCTGGCTTAGGACCCTTGGGAACACACTGACAAACACATTCAAGCAGAACAATAATGTAGAAAAATTTCATTCTTTTCCACCATCATGTGCACACAGTGCCATCCAAGTGTAAAATTGAATTTTAAAAAACACTTTTTAACCAGAAGTAACATGAATCAGTGCTAATTCATAAACTGACAAAAACAATTCTCATTCCCTGTTGTTCATTCTGTATTATTTGTCTGTTCCACTCTCACTCTGTACCTCACTTTGTACTATACTGATGTTTCTGGTCATTTTGAGTCTTATCGCTGTGTTGTGACCCATGGTGTAGTAATTGCCACTTTCATATCAGGAATGTGGAACCATCATCAGCAGTGGGTATACGCTGAAAAAACAAACAGTGGAGCTCTTAAGTGAGTTATCTTATTTTGCTAACATTTTCTCTGTTAATTAGCTGGATGGATCTTTGGCGGTGGCCCTCTTGAGAAAATAGCTGAGGCTACATGACGTGTTTACACTGTTGAACATCCCTTGTGGTGCCGTCACACGCAACACAGTGCGTTGAGGCCGCAAGAAAGTCAAATTGGATTTGATTCCTCAGATTAGTTCAGAATGATTGAAAAAATGACGTTCCCAAGAGCCCAAAAGGCCTTATCTGAGGGAAAGTATCTCTGCCGTGCACTATTTAAGGAGATAAGAGAGGGCATAATGGCACACGGTACTTGGATGGTCTGTGTTGTGTGGTGTTATGGTGTGGCGCTTTCCCAGAACAAGTGGAAGTAACGCCATATGCATTGTGAAAATGGTTCATAATCTACATGTGACCTCACAGGATGACTTTGATGTTGAACATTGTGTAATTGAAATACATTTAGTTAAACTGAGTGTCGCATCACAGCATGAAACTCAAAATCTGGTGCGTGATGTTATATAGGCCTGTTATATGAAATGGTTAATAACTTTTATACACAATTTATAAATTATATACAAAAAAATCTTTGAATTTGAATCATTCATTCAAATATCTATCTGTCCCTTGTTTACATTCTTATTACCATTTGTATATAAAATTAAGGTTTCATTCATATTTAATGATGATTAAAGTTCAAAATAAAACAAGGAAGGAGAAATCCTAAACTAATACTAGACAACTTTGATTCAGTCAGGAGTCATCTACCAAAACGTTGTATATTAAAGTTATTTAGTTCCCAAGCAAGTTCGAGTAGTGTGCAGGATTTTTCATTTGTTTTATTTTGAACTTTTATTCGACACACCTAGGCTACAACATATTCAGTCTCGCGATATACCTACTATATTTTTATTTTTATGATGATAAAAATGTAAAATGTTAAAATTGCTAGATGTTTTAGCTTTCTTTCACTCATTCTCCAGAAAAATGAGAATTTTCCAGCAAATGCCAACAGTTCAGATCATCAGTCTTCTTTTTCACTGCACTGTCATTTGTAGGCATTTACATTTTTAAAATAAAGAAGAAATAGCATATTCCTTAAAAATTACATTACAGTTTGCATATCTACACTCTGTGGCTCAATATGATGCATTATTCGTGTGTCTGTCATGTGATTCGTCGTGTGGGCGGGGCCGCAGCATCTTAACCGGAACTGTTTTTCAGAGGATAGAAGCCTTGTGTAAAGATTCTCTTCACTGCCTTTACCTCTGTAAGTAATCGCAATGTTTTATTCTACCTTGCTTTGCGGATGATAAAGCAGGGTTCTTATTATGTGGAAAAACTATCGTCTTAATAAATTCGTTGTCGTCGGCTTGACGTTTCTGTCGGATTGTTTTTAGCATTAGCCAGTCAGCTATTGTCAACTGTCAGAGCTGCTGTTTATGTTCATGTTTTGTTTGACAACCTCATCATAATGTATGTAAATGAGTTTTTGCCTTAAATGAGTTGTGTATTTTATCTTTGTGAAAATTCATGTTGGGTAACACTCTTCGTCAGTTCATTACATTGTCAGTAATTACAAACTCATGAAACAGCTACTATATTATAAAACCTTAACCAGTTTGTATGCATAATAATTTAAGCAAAGTAAGAGCGTATAAATCAAATTTGACTTCAGTATCATTTGTTTAATTTGGTTTGATGTCATTTCTATGAGAGATCTAACGTCTTATTTTGTTTTGGGGTCACGTTCTGTTTGTGCTTTTCTTCCGTCTCGTCTTCAGTTATGTGTTTTTCATGATTGTCAGTGTTAAATAATAGCAGCAACTTAAAATGCAACACAGGGCCCATCATGCTTTGCAGGAGCTCAGTTTTTATGTATTATTATAGCTGAAATCATAATGTAAATTGAAACCAGATTATAGCTAAATTGTTAATGAAGTTAATTATAATTTTTTCTTGTGTTGATTATTGAATGCATGTTTTCTATTTTTGCTATTTGGTGTTTACTGGCTACTGCAGCAATTAACAAAATTCTTGCCAATAAAATAAGCATATAATTATTTATATCATGGCCAATATTTAGAATTTATACTATTGTGTTTAATAAAAGCACTAAGCGGTCATTTTGTAAATGTCGAAAAATTATATGCAGTCAGCAGTATGATGCTCTCGTGTTAAATAGTTTGTTCAAGCTCCTGCGATTACATGTCGAGTGTTAATTTCTCCTGCTGAGAGAGTGTGTGCTGTAGGTGGGGGGGTCACTGTGTTTATGAAGGGGGCTGAGTGTTGATAGGACGGCGCTTAATAATTTGTCTGAGACGAGCTCCTTATTCCATAGAGACTCTCAGGTGTCAGTCATCTAAGCAGTCAATCATTTCCAAATGTTGCCACACAGTTTGACTTTACCATTTTCACTTTCATCAGACTTTGCTGTAACTGAGCAGTAGACATTTTTTGAAGTTAAAATGTAATCCTTTTAATTGTTTGTTTTATGTGATTTGTTTTCCCCCTCCCTTTGGCTATTTTTTCTTTTCTTTTCTTTTCTTTTCTTTTTTCTTTTCTTTTCTTTCTTTCTTCCTTTCGTTCTGTCAAAACTACCCCACTGATTTTTGTTTTGTCAAAAAATGCCAAGCCACTTAATAGATTTTTTTCCCAGTTTTCTTCTTAATTTATTTTCTAAATTATTGTTGTCACTTTGACATTTTTGCCACGCTTTTGAGTTTTGAATGAGAACATACTCATCATAAAAGATGTGTATTTAAATCATAGTATGCATGAATTGCATTTTAGTGGACATCCAGACAAAAAAATAAAAAAATAACACAGGGCACCATTGACCTATGTAATCTATAAAGACAATTTTACTATTTACCAAGGTATTGGTATCATCATAAAAATTCTGCAGTGAATATACTTGTCAGACACCCAGTTTATATTACTGCTAGACGTCTTCTGAATCTGCACTGTGGACTCTGAGGGTCTGCTGTAGAACTCAACCATCACCCTGTCCCCCTTTATCTCTCTCTGTGGCCCATACCAGAGACCACACAGACACAGAAACACACTCTACCAGACCACACAGAGACAGCCATGGGGTCTTGCACGCAAACCTCCCTGGAGCTGTCAGTCTTGTCCTCCGTGTGGGTGTTTGCATACAAGAGAGAGCATTTGTGACAGTGCAAAAGCCACGGGAAAAATGCCTTGATTGCTGAACTACTAGTCAAATTGCATATAGTGTAGCATCCGTGTCACTCCGAACAGTAACACGCTCGCTCAGTGTGAGCCGGATGGGTAGATTTATTTGTTCATGTCTAACGGTTTTTAAATGCACTGAACATGCTGAATGCCTCCTGAGCCTAAACAAAACACTTAGTGTTTACCTGTGTCTAGTCTAGGTGTTTAAAGGATGTCTCGTGCACGCCAGCCTCCCTTGGTGACTGGCATCTCACCCAACGAGGGCGCGCCGTGGACCAAAGTCACTATTCGTGGAGAGAACCTGGGCACTGGACCCAATGATCTCATAGGTAATACACATGCACATAGCCATTGCATTACATTTACATTTACATTTAGTCATTTTGCAGATGCTTTTATCCAAAGCGACTTACAATTTGGGTAAAACAGATACACACCCTCCTTTTGAACAAACATTCACTAGCGTTCAAAGGTTTGGGGTCATTAAGCTTTTTTATTTATTTATTTTATTCAGCAAGGGCACATTAAATTGATCATAAGTGACAGTGAAGACGTTACAAAAATTCTATTTAAAAAAAAAAAGTTGTTATTTTGAACTTTTTATTTATCAAAAAAATCCTGAAAAAATAGATCACGGCTTCCTTTAAAAATATTAAGCAGCATAATGATTTTCAGCATTGATAATAATAAGTAATACTGATAATAGTAGTAGTAAATACTATTTTTAAATTGTAATAATATTTCAAAACATTTTTGAGTAGATAAATGCAGTCTTTGTGAGCACAGGAGACTTTTTACAAAAACATTTTTAAAAGTCTTATCGACCCCACACATCTGAACACTAAAATTCAGACATTTTCTGAATTTCACACATTTTCTTCTGATTTAGCAAAGGGCTAATAAAGGAAAAATACAAACATCCATCTGTTAAAATTAATTTCTTCATACAGAAATGATCAGTCTATGAAATCTGGGGGAAAATAAATAAATCAGTTTTGGCATGGTTTAAAGAGATGCTTCATAATATTTTATTATGAGTCTGCAACTCAGTGAATCTGTAAATCAAGACGAGAAACTAAAATCTAAAGTAATAGTTTGTTCAGATAAGCAGCAAAAATTTTATTTTTTTATAGTTAGTGTTATTAAACACAGATCGGTTTTTGTAATTAAGCAGCACAAAAAAAAAGAATAATTTTTTGATGCCGTTAAGGACCTGAGCTGAGGCAAATTTGGCCATTTTATTAACATCCTTTTCTCTTGGTCTTTGTCCGTCTCTGTCTGTCAGGTCTGTCTATCTGTGGTCATAACTGTTTGCTGACAGCAGAATGGATGTCTGCTAGTAAGATAGTGTGTCGAGTGGGTCCTGCTAAAGATGACAAGGGCGAGATCATTGTCACCACCAGGAGCGGAGGCCAAGGGACATCCACGGTCTCCTTCAAACTGCTCAAACCCGAGAGGATCGGTGAGACACACACTCACAGTGCCCTCTAACTCATGTACACACACTCTGTGCATGTTTACAATGCTCGATCTTACACCAATTATGCTTAACCCTGTTGTAAGGTCATGTAAACATCTTAAACTGTGCCCTTTCATTGCGTAAAGATCTGCTTATCATAAAATGATTGCTACACCTTGTTTTATACCAACTGAAGTCAGTTTATGTTTTGATGTAAAAAACAAACAAACAAACCAAAAATCCTGATAATTTCGGATCTCATGTAAAAGTGTTTTTTGCATTATCAGCATATTGTTGTGCATGTAAACACACTCAATGTCTGTTAAAGGCAAAATCATAATTTCGGTTTGATTGATACACACTCCTTGAATGTACACATATGCTCTTTGAAGACGGCAATGGATTTTAAGCCCTCAACCAATGAGTATGTGCATGTTTTTTTGTGTTTAGGCATTCTGGATCAATCTGCGGTCTGGCTTGATGAGTTGAATTACTATGACATGAGGACCGATCGCAACAAAGGAATCTCTCCTCTCTCGTTGAGGCCGGCCAACCCTTTGGGCATCGAAATAGACAAGTAAAGAAACATTCACAACTGAATTTGTGTTGTCCTCTTATGAACTTCGAAAGTAATACATTTACACCTACAACTAAGCACACGTATTGCTCTACTTGAGACACACACACACACACACACA